CCACCACTGAGTGGCATACTTTCCACAATGGTGACACCAAATTCTAACATAGCATTCTACAGTATTTCCATATCATGCTCTAAAGATTTTTCCTAACAATTAATTGGAACATCTTTTAAATTAATTTTTTAAACTGATAAAAAGTCACGGGTAACACTATCGCACAAGTGTTAAACATTTATAATAACAATGAACTTTAATAATTTTCAATTGTATCTTTATTCTTTTCTAATGCCCAAGACATTGCTTTCATTTGTTTAATTTACTTTTCACAATTTTCTTAATAACAAGTGTTATGATCTAATATTTGTAAGCAGAAAACCAACACTGGTGAATGAATAAGAGATTTATCTAATCTGCAGTATACACAAAATTAGGTGAAACAGCTAATACCTCTGAAGACAATAGATAAAATCAAAATGATCTTGCAATAGCAGTTGATAGAAACCAAGCATAAACTAGCAGAATGATGTGAAAATACAAATAGACAGTTTCAAAACAAGTATTGTTATCAAATAATGTATAGAAATCATTCCACTTTATCCTGTTTCTATTTCAGTTTAGTTTATTGCATCACAGAGCAGTACAGAGTGCTCTATGAACATGAATGTGTGTGTTGTATTTCTAATTTAGTAAATTGATAAAAAGCTTTAAGACAGAATTAAAATACATATATAAAATCAATCAATCCATCTTTATTGATTAACCCTTGGGCCATATTAAAGTGCAGCGCTCCAAAAACAATTATTACAAAATTTTGGTAGAAACAATTTAAAATGAAATTGGAATAGGAATAAAACACAATTTTAAAATGAAATTAGAGTATATAAAACCTAACATCTATAAGATTCAGAATGCATCCTATATTTAAATATAATGTAAGCACTAAAATTATATTAAAAATGCTAACATCTAAAATTACAATAAAGTGGTAATATCTAAAATATAAATAATATAGTTACACAGAGTGCATTATAGAAGATTAGTCCATTGGGGTCCAATGGATCTTCCATACTGCTGCACAAGACTTAGCTATATGAACAGTACAAAAAGTAGTTCATTTATGAGGCATCTGGGCATAGGCTAACTCTGAGTGACCAGAATATCTACTAATTAAAGGTAGGAATCTGCCTAATATTTTCCCTATAACTGTTTGCCACTCTCTATTCTCTGTCCCTTGCTTCAGGGTTTGTTTTGCCTAATCTGATTCCACTTGAGAACTGAAGGAGAGTAGTCTAGATTTAAAAGATTAGATTTAAAAGCCTTGATCAAAATGGACTAAAAAATGTCCTTAAAAATTAATGATAGAAATTAAGCTTCAAAGGTTAATAGGATCTAGACATACTCTTGACTCAACTTTTATCATATCTATCTCCAGTCGTAGATGTGCATTTGAGATCCAGAGAAATATCTGGAGAGCTACTCTGATTAATTTAGATTGTATTCTCTTCCAAGGAGGTGAAACAAGAAGCAGGAAGGCCAACCAGAGTCCCATAGAGAAACTGGACTAGTAACTTAGTCCAAAAACGCTTAAGTGCAGCTGGAACATAATATCCTCCCTTGGATCAGAAAGTTTGAGGATTGCATTGGAAGGTCTTCGTCTAGTAACAGCAACATATACACAGTGGGCCTTCCTTGATCCAGTGGCATGCATGACTAGCCTAAATACTTAAAGCTAGTCACTTGTTCTATTTCATTGTCATTAATGCTCCAGAGAAGAAGCTTTGCCCTTTTGGCAAAAGCCATAATTTTGGTTTTCTGATTTATCATTGTTGCAGTATTAGACCAAAGTTCTGAGTTCTTTTAAGACATATTGGTATTCTGAAAAGAATTACAGAGTAATTCTTTGCTGCAATTCCCTAGTTTGACAGGATGGAAGTTGTTTAGATATCTCGCCATACTGTAGATATAAAATTTGAAAAGCGGGGAGTTAGAGAGATGAATGTGCTTAGCCCATAGTACATAAAAGAGAAAATATGATGAACACTCTTTAAATACTTCAAAGAAGCTCATGTAAAAGAGCAAGATTACCTTGCTATGATACCTGAGTAACAGATATGGAATAATATATAAGTTACACGAAGTCAAAATTCCAACAGAACATTAAGAAAAAAACCTTCCTCACTTTAAGATCAATCAATAATATGCTTTCCTTCACTGGATCTATTCAAGGAGCTATCTGCTGGAGATCCTTTACTTTCAATTCTTGTACTGAACAGGGAACTGAATACCGAAATGATCCCTTCCATTTCTAAAACCTTATGCATAGTTAGTTTAGAATAAGCTCCATTGAGCAGTGTGGTGTTTTTAGAAAGTATGCACAGGCTCAAATTTCTTTAGAGCAATTGTAAGAAATATAGTATCCACCAACTATCTATCTATGGTATGTTAAATAGAAAATTAAATCAGATTCTGCACATTTACTGCGGTACATGTGACTTAGATAATTTCTGCACTAATATTGTCTTCTAGAATCATCAAACTATTGTTGTGCCAAAATATATGTAGACAGACTTTTTATTACTTCAGGAATATATCAGAGCTATACCACCTTGATTTAAGGTTTCAATGTTCTAGACTACTACTTTAGAGCTTAAAACTACTCAATGTAGTAGGCATAGGCAGATGCAGCATAATCAAAGTATCTGGGTCCCACAAATTACTAATGGATTTCAAAGCAATATCTAAAGCATTATGGTAAGCTGATTGGATGTGAGGAGGCCTTGCCCTCTTTTTCCAGACATAGACAAGACGTATGTAAATCCATATGAACAATGAAATGTTAGATAGGTACTTGAATTAAAAAAAATAAAGTCCTCTTCAAATTAACCTGACAGGAGTTATTTGCTATTGTCTTTTTTTCAACTTCCCTGTTAGCCTAATTCCAGAACTGTATGCGAAATCAGTTGAAAATCATGCAGAATAAGGCAATGATAATGCACTTACAGAGTATTGCCAAGAAAACTACACTGAATAAGGTGTAACAATTATTTAGTATTGTAATTAGTTATTACTTTTCCAACATTAGGTAACAGAAATAACTTACAAAATGTTTTGCAGTTTCTTTCACCAAGTCACTTATCTCAGTTGTCTTGAATAGTCCTACAGTATTATATGAAGTTTCTTCAGTAATCTCATTTACACAGTAATCTGTATATTTAACAAGCTCAAAAAGTTACAAAACTACAAGTGAGTTTCCAATAGCAAAAAAATGAACAGTTTCAGATTATTAAATATTATATTTTTATTATCTTGAATTTCAGATTTAAGGTGACTATTCTGGTGATCTAGAACATGAAGAGTGTATTCAGATGAATGTCTCCTTTACCCTGTCAATCAAAATACACTATGAAACTATTCTAACTCCCCCCACCCCCCATACATAAAAATTAAAAGAATGGGAAACCTTCGGAGCAATTACAAATGAGCATTTTTGCCCTGCCACAAGATTATGAGTATGGGGCAGAAAGGCAGCAAAATAAAAGCTTCTCTGGGACCACTCCTAATTAATTCTATTGCAATAAACTAGATTCCTCAAACTAGATATTCTGGAAACACATTGAATAATAATCCAATCAACAAGAATAGAGTAGGAGTTATGCATGTTGTCATCCAATAAATTCCAAAGAAACAAGTTGAGGAAGGCTGTAATAGCCCATCACAACTTAGATTAGTCCATGTTTTTTTACCACTAAACATCAGTTAATTCATTAAGTCTTACTATTATGTACACAGGCCTAGAGTGTCTTGTATGGTTTTGGGCGCTTCCAGACAAGGTTTTTTTTCTTAATTTAGACTGCTACATTTGCCAGCTTTTGGGGAAGGGTGGGCAGGAGATGATTGGAGAAGGATCAGAAGATGGAATGGGTATCCTGTACCTATTCTTTGGGACCAGTGGAAGCTATCTGGAGGCATCCTTTGTCTTCTTACTGTTCCCTAATATTGACATACTCAGCCCCTCTTTCTATTCTTAACTTCATTTAAAATCTTTCAGATGATGTTTACATATAAGGCTTTGATTTGCAAGCACCCAGCGTCAAACAGAGAACTCCTAAGTGTTCATGGGGAAATTTAAGGGCTTCAACAGAGAAGGTTTCTAGCTCTGCCAATTAAAATATATTGTAGACTTTTTAAAAAGTCATTTTTAATTAATCCCAAAAAAGAAAAATAACCAACCAGCAGAGAAAGACAGGAGGGTTACAAACAAAAGATTATGACATCTGGGCCTTCTGTAAAATATTGGGAACAATGAAAGGATTGTGTGAAAACATAGCCTTCCACTTGTAACCCATTCCTGTTCTCACGGCTTCCTCTGACCTTTTTTTTCCCCCTCAAGGGGGCTTCCCACGGAATTGCATCTCCAATACTACAAATCAACGACCATTGTGCAGCAACAACTCTTCTTTGTTAACTGGGGAAAAGAAGATCAGGAAGGAATGGCAAAAGACACAAGGGTTTGAAGCTAGAAAATACATCGTGTGAGCCATAACTGCATAAGTGGCGATCGCCCCGAAGCCTTGTTAAGAAGCAACGGGCAAAATAGCTGGCTGCAAAGTATCTTTCGACTGGAAGCGCCAGGCGCCCTTCGTCTGGAAGCACCTCAACAATTGTGAAGTAAAAGCAGGGATGTCTGGGGGAGAGAGAAAGCTGCGAACAGCGGCCCTTGCAGGCGGATTAGGAATGAGGATTGGGCAGCGGCGTCGGGATGGGAAGAGACGGCTGAAAGCAACTAGCTAGAGGGCTCGGAAAACGGGCCTTTTCACGGGCTACTTTGAAGGGCAAAAAAAGACACAACTTAGTCCATGGAAAAGGCGGTGCTACAAAACGCTCGGAGCCGGGTGATAACTAACCCCGTCCGGCCCAGTTCTCTCCCAAAATGGGAGGAGTGGAAGCGGCCGCGCTAGAGGCTCATAATGTCTGCTAATAAAGACTGCCTGGGGTTCTTTGGCGGGAAATTGCCCCGGCGAAGAAGAATGGAAAGCTTTGCAGGAAGAAGCTACCTTTTCTCCGGTCACAACATGCAACCCTTCCCGCACTTTGGCGAAGGAGCCTTCTCCTAACTTCCGACCGATCAGGTAGTTGCCGACCCGCTTGGTGTGCTGGAATTCTCGGATGCGCTCCCGGGAGGCCGAAGCGTTGACCCAGGCGGCCAGGAAAGTCCCCTCCGGACTGAGGGGAGGCGTCGTGGGTTCGTCGTCGCTGAAGCTCGCCGCCGTGGGCTCGCTCAAAAGCCCGTCGCCAGCAGCTGCCGGCATCCTGCTCTTCCTGCAATCGCGGCGTCCCGGATCCAAAGCTCGGGCTGCGTCTCTCCCCTTGGCCCGTTCCCGCAACTTGCACGATCGCTAAGCCGCAGCGGCCCCGGCGAACTCCTCTGCAAAGCCGCCTCTCTCTGCTGCTGCTTCTGCTGCTGCTGCTGCTTGAAGTCTGCAGCACCCGCTTGCCAATGTGATCCGCACCCGGGAGTCCACGTGGGGAGTTGCCGGCGGCTGAATGACGGACTGAAGCGCTTTGCTTCTTGTCAATGAAATAATGGCACGGCGAAAAAGAAAAAAGCAAGGAACCCGCTTCCAGTCTTGGCTTTGCCGAGATGCCCGGCAAATGCGACGACCACGAAGCTCCAGGCTCGGCTAGGGCGACTAGCACAACTACAACGCTAAGGCTTCTCCTGCTCACGTTGAAGAGGGAACCCGAGCCAGCTCCCGCAGATCAATTGTCTCCAGCCTCCTTGGAAGCCAGTTGGCTGCCGTTTCCTCATTGGATCTGTCGATCACTTGTCCCCTCCCTCTTGTACCGTGCCTGCCTTACTGCCTCGCTCTCTCCCGGTGCCGCTGCTTGGGGCTCCTTTCCCCTCCAGCTGGGGAGGAGGGAGGGGGAATGGGGACCAAAGACTTCATTCAAGCTGAATTTGCCGTAATGTAACCCGATCGCTCGGTTAGGGACAGATGCAATAAAAGAAATAATTGCATTCGACAAGGATCGAGATCTTGAAGTTCGGGTGACTCCTCCCCGTTATTCCCTGCAAAACCCCCCCCCGTTTTATTTAGTGCAATTTGTCTCCAGTACTAAAGCCACATCACGAGGAAATTCGTTTCTAGAGAACGTTAACACGAGCTACCTTAAATGCACGAAGATACTGCACGTTTCTATAATTAGGACACTCGAGCCATATCCTAGCCTCTTTGCATGTCTTTTTCCCGAGCAAAGCGTTTATTTTTCTCAAGATCTTTTATTCTTACCCTGACAATGTTGTTACCCTGTTTTTTTTTTAATGACACCTTTTGTGCTCAAAAGCACTTCACTTTGTTTTCACTGTTTTCTGGTGAAATGAGCTGCTGAGCTCAAATCGTGACAGCTGTGCCAGTAGAAGTATAATGCTTCTTGCCTCCTTTTTCTTTAGATAAAAGATTTGAAGCTGAAATGGCAGTTTCCCCAGGAGCTGAAAGAAAAGCTCCACCTTTTCTTGTACATTATTTTAATTTGGAGCACTTGTCTCCATTATCAACATCTTATTTTATCTTAAACCTAGCTTAAACTGTAGCATTCTACAGTACTCTGTTCATCATACTTCTATACAAATAAAAATGGAGGATATGAATAAATGTGAAACTGTCAGAACAATTTAATACCAGACAAAATAAAAGAGAACATCTGTGGATCCAACAAATCTGCCTCTAGTTGAGTGATCCCAAAGATTGAATCAAAAACATTACAGTTGCCACACAGACATTGCTCAAAATACTTTCACATATGGCAACTCCTTTAAAGAGGGCTTGTAAACATTTTTTCTGCATGAGCCAAACCAGAAAAAGGAGGGGCTTCTTGGAGTTAGCAAGTGGAATCTGTAGAAATATGAAAAGGCTACCATATAGTTTTTGATAAAGTAAGTACAATGAGGTATTAAATCAGCTTAAAAGAAAAGAGTGATTAACTATATTTCAATGGGAGTCCATTCTAAGTATGGAACCATTCAAGATTGTTCAGTATTGACTTTGGTGTATAATGTATAATAACAATATTTTTCTTCATGTCCAATTCTGGACAAGTTCCTGCACTATTCAGAAATGGTTTGCCATTGCCACCTTCCTAGAGCTGAGAAAAAGCCAGTAGCCCAAAGTCACCCAGCTGACTTTGTGCCTAAGGCAGAACTAGAGATCACAAGGCTCCTGGTTACTAAACTGATGCCTTAACCACTACATTACACATAACGCTGGCTCTCATATTTCATGATAATTTCAAAGTCAACAAAATTATAGAGCTTTTAAATATTTAAAGTAAGTTCACACCAAAGTATTGATCTGACAGCAACAATATTTCTATATGAGCATATGAAAAGTGTGAAATATCAAACTCAAATGCACTTCAAAGAGTGGTGTGTGGTATTTTTATTGTGGATAGTCTAATATATACAATTAAGCATATAGGAAAAGCTTACAGATATAAGAATGGCAGTTCAAATGCATCTAGGACATTCACCCAGCAAGACAGTACTGTTGTCCTTTTTACTTTTGTTCCCTAAAATAGGTATTTAATGTTGCTATAAAGATTAACCACTTTTGATGTCTCATTCTTCATATAAGTGTTTGATCCCTTTTAAAAAAAATTAAATTGGTTACCATTTATGCATTTCATAGTTTTCACAATACATTCTTTAAAGAAATACTTATACTGTAAAAATAAGTCCTAAATTTTATAATGAAGTTTAGCAATTCCAGGTTTTCATATTGTAATATAAGGGGAAAAATCCATTTTCTATATACTACATGCTTTTCATAACTGCATTATATGTTCTCTAAGACACCTTTTTTCTGATGACCTGAAATTTTGGTTAACTTTTCCTCTACTTCTGCCAATTTTATAATTTTTGGAAATGCAGTGACTAAAACATTTAACTTCTTTAAGATTCCTTGGGTGGATGGTGATTCAATCACTTAATTTATTTTCCCTTCCTAATTATCTTGGTTTTCTGATTTTCCTTCTGAAAAAGGCAGTTAAGAAAACAGTTCTGTTTTACGTCTAAATCGATGAAGACCCTTGAAAAAAATACATTAGTTAATTTCTCTGGAGTTTCCTTAGTCTTTTTTAATATCTTATCAAACTTCACACCAGCAATAAAACCCATCCCTGCAGACACTTTATTCAGCAACAGGCCTAACTAGGCAGAAGATTCAAAGACACAATGATGTCAGAAAATTATAAGAGTACAATAGAAAAGAATAGACAACAGCTGCTGAACTATGTTTATGTAGCAAGGTTGTTGGTTTTTTGAGCCTGAGAACTACTCTTCCTTGCCCGATTTCTTTTTTGCACCACCTCTTTTTCCATTTTCCTGTTCCCTCTGTCGTTATGCTCCTCCCACTCCCACCTTCTAGGAGGGCTGCTTAAGAACATTAGGCCCATTTGTCAATTTCAATTTTTGTGCGGGGACTAGACCTACTGAGATCTACAAATTCAGCCTTTATGTTGTACATCTTAGTCCCACTGATCCAACAAGACCCTTGCAGATTTATTGTTTGGAATATATAGTTTTGTTTGTTGCTGACTGAAATTTTCTCATTTTAAAATAGTATTTTTCCAAAGTTTGTGGGTTTTTAAAAAACTTATCTGGGCAAGACTTCCTGTTTTTAAGAAAATGTAAATCTATGATTAGAATGAAAATTATTAACACTGAAATATTTCTATTTATTTAAAATTTATTGAGGTAGTAAGGTGGCATTGAATTGGACTCAATTCCTGACAACTGGCAATTATAGATAATTAGTGCTGCTCAGTCTGATTAGCATCCAGTTTCAAAAACTCCATGATATGCTAATTTATGGCATGGAATCAATTTCTTTAAATTCATTCTACCAAAGAGAATATACCTTGGTTGGAGTCTGATGCTTTCATATGTTTGATTTCATTTTACTCTTGAATATTGAGGAAAAACTATCACTATGTTCTGTTGAATGCCAAGGAAGATTCAAACTTCAAAATATTTGATAATATCATCAAGATTTTGCATAAGAAATTTATTGCTAACACATGATTTACAATTTGACTTGGAAAATGTTATTAATTCTAGTTGAATGAATATGGGTTTTGACCTCAGGCTCATTAATCTAGAATATAGAATTGCAGGGTTTGAGGGAAGCTGAAGATGTCCTTTATCTAGCTACCGGTACTTTCATTGCCAGGAAACACTAATGCAGAGGATATAATTGGCTCAGTACAGAAGGTGTAACTGATCTGGACTGAAGTTATACTATTTTTCTACAGAAAAAGCCATTATCCTACAGCTGAAATTTTCTTCATTCTTTTTGTGCCAGTAGTCATTTGATACAAGTGAGATGTCATTCTGCTTGAGCGAAATACACTGAAATTATATTTGATCAAAGTTAATGGTTGGTGCAAATGCAGAAAGACGAAAGGCTACATATTAGGGCAAATGATATTTACTGTGCTTTGACATTAATGAATTATTTCTTCTATATATATTCTAGAAGTAGCAGCTGAGACATTAGTTTCAAAAATCTGGCATTTCCCACCATCTCAGGTAGATTTTTTGGAAATTCCAAAGGAACAGAGTGTCAAGGAATTAAGAAGGCATGATTAAAGATGGTAAGTTTTCTATGTAGAATGGGAAGATCAAGAAATAACTTAAAAGAATTTTAGTTCAATCAGAAAAAGGTGGAATAGTTTTGATCTTTGCAATTCAAAACCTGCCAAAGGTTTCTAAGAAAAAAAGGCTACTTGTTAAAATAAAACCAGAGTATTTCAGCAAAATACAAAATACAAAGAAATCTACCAAATAAATATCATTCAGTGCTTGTTCTGAAAATACATATCCATCCACTGAAGAATATACCCCTTGAGCTTAATGGGCTTTACTCCCTAATAATTGGAAGTTTGATCGATGAAGTCCATGTTCTTTAAGCTCCAGAGCAGAGATACAGATGTTACATTATGTTATATCACAGCCTCCTTTCTCTATCATGTATCTGTATGTATCTGTATACATACAGATACATACAGATGTATACCAATATGAATATGTATAAAAAAGGTTTAATGGTTCCCCTGTCCAGTTGTGACTGACTCAAGGGGGCAGTGCTCATCTCTGATTCTCAGCCTAAGGACTCTGCATACTCTGAGAGATGCTTCCATCATCATGTAGCTAGCATGAAAGTACGGAATAAAGTAACCTTTCCTGGATCTCAAACTTGGGCTTTCAGCTTTCCAGCTGACAAACTCAGCATCTTAACTGCTGACCGATCGCACTGTCCATAGATACAGATGTTACATTATGTTGTAATCCCATGTACAGGTGTTTACATGCATCCCAGCCTGCTTTCTCTATTATGTATATGTATATTCTTGTAATCACTGACCACTAGCATTTGGATAGCTCCTCAAGCTAATGCACTGTATATTGTCATTTAAAGTATAAAGTTCCATGTGTTCAGTTCCAAGTCAGAACCTCATAGACCAACATCTATTAACATCTGAGAAATCTTGACAAGGATGAAACCAGTCACTTGATGCTTTCCCAGTATTTAAAATCCTAATGATTAGATATTTCTCACTGAGGCTTTTATTTTACAATATTATGTTTTTTTACAACAAATTAAGATAAGCAGAGTTCTTCTCTTATTTAATTTGTAATTTCCGACATTTCTTTTTTTCTAATTGGGAAATAATCCAAAATTGTACAATTCCCATCCCCCCTTCACTTAAAACTTCTGAAAAAAAAGGGAAGTGTATATATAAACCCTATCAAATATATAAATAAATAATGCTCTTAGAAGTGCAATTGCCTAGCTGTGTTTTTCACAGATTTATGTTGCAATAATTAAGATGTAGAAGGTACAGTAAATTTTGAGTAAATTAAAAC